GGTCTTCTGCCTATAGACCTTCTCCCAGGCTGTGATCTGTTTGCCTATATCAATTGACAGCAGTGATTTCATTGTGCCAGTTACCTTGCACTGAATTGTATATTCATTTAGGAACAGAGAGACTTTGATCACACTGACATGTGTGACCTTTAGGCTTAGTCTTTACTGGGGTTATTAAGTTAAACTGCTTAAAAACCTGGAAACATTTGTAAACAAGGTATATGGACACATAGAAATGTCCTAGAACAATTTAGAAATAGTATAATTAGTGTCTGGAGTAGCATACTCTCAGTACATTTACAATTCATTGCTTGAAATCAAGCTAATTAAGTTCAAAACTGGATACAAGAATTAATTTCAATCAATCACCTAATCTCTCATTACGTGTTCACAGTTCATCAGAGGACTCATGAAAAATTCATAATTTCCAGGAATAGGAAATTCTTAGAAAAAGCTGCAGTTGAACATTGGAAACTGCAAGACAAAACTTAATCAGGTCTTGTTTGTACAAGTCCTGTTTGGTCAATGCAATTACAAAATGTTCATTCCTGTTATGTGAGCATGACCCAACTGAGATATGAAACTGGAGTTATTTTTCTGAAACCCCATCCCAGTGTACTTCACAGCTGTGTCTTTTTATCTTCTAGTGTTGTTTTGGACAAGAATATAATAGAAACCATACAGACCTCCATCTCTGGTTGCTAGCTGTAACACAGCAATGTCTGTAAAGTGATGCACAATCCTGAGTGCAGCTTAATCTCCTGACTTCCTCCATGTTACCTCCCTTATGTTTTGTACTGAATCTGAGCCAGCAGTGCCCTGGCAGCCAGGAGGGCCATCCCTGTCCTGGGGAGCATCAGGCACAGCATCACAGCTGGGCAAGAGATGGGATTGTCCTGCTCTGCTCTGAGCTGGGGTGGCCTCACCTCCAGTGCTGGGGGCAGTTCTGGTCACTGCAGTATGAAAAAAAAATTAAACTATTAGAGACTGTCCAAAGGAGGGACAAAAAATGGTGAAAGTCCTTGAGGGGAAGCCATATGAGGAGTGTCTGAGGTCACTTGGTCTGTTCAGTCTGGACAATTCTGAGGGGAGACCTCATTACATTACAACTTCCTCATGAGGGGAAGAGGAGGGACAGGCACTGATCTCTTCTCTGTGGTGAGCAGTGACAAAACTCAAGGAAACAGCACCAAGTTGTGTCAGGGGAGGTTTAGGTTGGCTATCAGGAAAAAAAAATTCACCCTGGGCACTGGAGCAGGCTCCCCAGGAAGTGGTCACAGCACCAAGCCTGACAGAGCTCAAGAAGCATTTGGACAATGCTCTCAGGCACATAATGGGATTCTTGGGGTGTCCTGTGCAGGGCGAGGAGTTGGATTTGATAATCCTGATGGGTTCCTTTGAAGTCAGTTATTCTCTGATTCTATTCACAATATTTTCAGGTGTTTTCCCAGAAACCAATCTTGCTTTTATTACCTTGTAGAAATTAAAAAGCCACAACTCTGGAAAGTAGACAAAATCTTCATGAAAGTTCTCTGCACTTTCTTTGAATGATGAAATACTTTGTTTTTTTTTTTTTTAAGCTTGTTAGGAAAACCCCTTCCCAAGGACTTAATAAAACTTTGTAATCTTCAGTAATGACCAGGAGGTCATCAAAGTTACTTATCCAAATAAAGATCAATTGGATGAGCTCTGTTACATGGGATAAGTGATAAGAATAAGGTTCTCAGTCCACGTGCTTTGTACAAGTTAGGTTATGCCTTTTTCCCCCTGCAGCATCAAATAGTGGCTTCCTCTTCCAAAGTGTTGTGTTCTGGTTTTGTGCAGTATGAATTTCATAGGCCATTCTCTCTCAGTGGTAGCAAGGGAATTTTTTGTGAAACTTATGTTTGCTTCATAGGAGTCAAAGTTGTGCACAAAATTTCAGTCTGCTTTGTGAAGCAGCGGCAACAGCTTAAAGTGTAAGTACTATATTTGTAGTGGATTGTAGTGATGCTGAGTAAGTGTGTCCAGAGAAAAGGATTTCCTCAATCTGGGACATATTTCTGGGACTCCCAAGAATTGTTAAAACATAGTAATAATTTTCTATTTGTGTACAACCTAGCATGGAAATACAGGAAAAGAGCAGAAGGACTCAAGGTGGAGTGAGAGAGTTTGGTAGTTATGATGATATCTAAATTTTCATTTACTCTTTAATCTCTATTTCTGTGCCTCTCTTGCAACTACCTTTGCATGCTCCTCTAAAATATGTCTATTGTCTCCTTTCCAAGGTCTCTTTTTGACAGAAATGCCCTGAAGAAGTGAGTCAGTAAAATATTTACCAAAACTTGTCTAAGTATCAACCATCTCTTGGTGGGTAAATATTGATGTAAATCAGTGTGATTTATGATAACTTGATTTATTTCATTATTTCAAACTTTTTATCGACATTTTATTACAGTGCATTTGGAAACAGATTACATAACCTTTCTAACAAGCTTGTCATGTGAATTTCCTATGCAATCAGTAATTAATGATGGCAATATCTGAAGCAAAGCTTTCAAATTCTTTAGTATTTTCTAATCATATTTAGTACTAAATTTTTGGTCGGCGTTTCCTGCAAGTGAGATGCTGCAATTTCTTGTATTTACTATTACATGTTGCAAGTCACACAAAGCTTGGATCTGTTCACTAGCAAATAATATTGTCAGCAGGATGTTTTATTTTTCATTATTCCACTTTTTGGAAAGTATGGGTCTTCCTATATGGCTTTGAACCTCTTAAGTCAGTTATTTTTGTTATTTTTGTTGAAGACTCCTCCTGGAGAGCTTTCTGTTTGTTCTCCTGCACTGGGTAATGAGGATGTTAAAACTGGGGTGCAGATGTTCATATGTATAAGTGGGAAAAAATATCTCATTTTGAACACAGCTAAATCCCTTCAAAGACTGCTACTTCTCTGCTGAGCCAGCGTGATAGATGAGCAGCAGGCTTTCCCCAGAAATGGGTAGGACTTCCAAGTTGGTGCTAATGGGATTGTGGTAGCATGGGGCCACACTTGGAGCTTACCCTGGGCAGGCTCTGGCCATGTCCAGTGTGAGCAGCTCCTTTGCTTCCTCTGGAAGGTGGGGTGGTTCAGGAGAAGAACGGAAGAGCACACAATCAGGGAGAAAACAGGAAAAGTTGAGTAGCACATGACAGAACTGAACTTGGCACCGTAACAGAAATGTGAACAGAAGAATCTCCTAAACACTCGGCCAATGTTGGTTGTGTGGGTGGGAGCTCAGGTGCAGGGGCAGTGTCCATTCTTCATCAGGGACTGACATACAATAAAACAAAGTTAAAACAGAAAGGGAAGTGTAACTTGCCCAGTGAAGTGCTAAAAAGACTCTGCAAGTGAGGAGTCAGGTGAGCAAAGATGACCAGGATGAAAAATTGATTAGGGTCATATTGGGATGCTAGTAAAGCAGAATGTTACATAGAAAATGAATGCCATGAAAAACACTTCAAAGAGTACAGTTTTAATAATAGAGTACAACTGCATTATGTTTAGCAGATGCCTGCCGAGAGTGTTTACTTTCCCACCTCCAAAATTTGCCCCCAACATAAAATCTGAGAAGAGATGAAAAGATGCTGCTAGTAAATGTTCTTTTTAGCAAAATAAGACTAATACTGATTTATTTATCTCTAACATAGCATCCAAAATGTATTTGGTGTGCGAAAGATCTGAGACAAAATAATTAATCCTGCTGTGGAGCCTAAGACATTATAATCCAGTTGCTTCTGACCTTTTCTCCCTCCTCAGAATGCATTTAACACAGGCTTTGACCAAATCCTATTCATGTTGCTGGGATGATTTCTGTTGCCTTCAGTCAGGTTTCTCTAGGAATACACCTTATCATAGTCTCTCATGACATTTAATGTCAGGTTTTAAGTTCAGCTTCAGTAACATGGCTTGAAAAGTGATAGGAATCAAGTCCTTATGAATTAATTTTTAAATATTCAGGTATTAATATTGAATCCGGACTATTGTTTCTAGTCTCTCATATCACCTATGGGAATGCCAAGTAACTTTATGCTACAACTGCAAATGCTGTAGTTTGCTTCTAATGGTTCCTCAAGACTGTGAAATGATTTATTAAGACAGGATCTGTATCAAAGAGATTAGAGATCAGAAGTACTCTGATTAAAATATTTGGCAGTCCATGTTTGTTTCAAGATATGTCAAGAGACTAAAAGAATGATCTAGAAAAAAAGAAGTTACTGTAATGAGTAAAACATTTTTCTTCTTAAGTGCGTCTAAGAACTTTTTCTGAATTATACATTTCACCTCTTCAAAGAATTAAGGGATTACATAAACAACTGCATATTTTCCCTTGCAGAAAATTCTACAGTACTGCCAAATGAATTCCAGATAATTCCTTCCTGTTTTTCTGTCTCATTGTGCATCAAGGTGATAGCTAGCATGCTATCCAGATCATTGCTTCAACCAGGTTGTTTATTTTCTGGGTAGGTAACACCTTAGAGACACGTCATGAAATCGAAACATTAGCAAAAACTCATAACCTAGATGTAAATTACTGGTCTTTGAAAAATTATTAAAGTTGCCCCTAACCTAGTATGTTTCATTTTTCAGGTCTCACACACCCACCTATATTTAGTTGTCCTGAAGGCCACCTAAATTTGTAAAGGGCTCTGAGTTATCTCAAGGTATTTACACAAGCGTACCTAAACATGTGTTGCCTAGATTCAATACAACAAACTTTGGAGCATGTGGTCACACATTAAAGGACTTCTGCAGTTCATCAAGAAGCCAGACCTTTGACCATTTGTCCTCAGGTGACTGGTTGGGTAATATTTGTACACCTCCACAGAAAAACAATAGGTTTGTATAGAGAATTGTGTAAATATTAGGTATTATGGTTATTATTTGTCCTTTTGTGACTGACATAACCTGTTTAATTGTCAAACATGTTTATTGGGCACTAAATCTGTACTTCCATGGTCCCCTCCTCTGTTTTCTGAAGACCTTACATTTCCTGTGAAGGAGGAACTCTGTGCTGTCCCCATGGAATGGGAAGGACTTGGATGCTTCACTAAGACTTCTCCCTTCACCCTTGATGAGCAGGTGTGCTGACCTTGGCTATTGAGAGCTGTGTTTGGCCTGCAGGAAGGGTCCCTGCAGCCACCCCATACCATGCAGGCTCCCCATACCCAGCAGGCTCGTGGTACAAACTGCACATGGGTGCATGGGGGCACTGGGTTTTCTAACGGGAACCTTCTGGGAGGAAACTCTGGCCCATCCGTCTTCTCTCTAAGGTGCTCCACACAGCAAACCCAGAACCAATCTGGGCATCCACCACACCTGGGGAAGAGTCTGCCATGTCATGCAGGACACAAAACTGGGTTTTCTGAGGCTTGCAGCAAGGCTGGGACAGTGCAGAGCTTTGCAGGCTGTCTGCCCCTGTTGGCTGAGGGGTGGGGGTGTTTGCTGGCCAGCATTCCCCCAGCCCAGCTGCTGGTGGCTCCAGGGAACGACACTCCTGACAGTGCCCTACACCCTCATGCTGCCCTGGGCTGGCTTCCTCAAGGAGGCCTTTGGGCCTGCCTTCCAAATGAGGCATTTCTCAATGTCCATCTCAACAGATCTTGGTTTAATTTGGGTGGCAAGTGTTTACAGATTAAACCCTCTACTTAATAATGCTTCTGTGACAGCTGTTTTGTCCAGCTTTCATCATGATGTAAGTGTTTTTAACCAAGGAGCCTTGGATACCTACTAACATGGTACACTTTCTCATGTGTTTGCCAATTTGATTTTTATTTCTCTAGCTGAATTCATAATGTATAGTTTTTGCCCAAGAAACTAGTTGAGTTCACAATATATATTTTTCTCTCTAGTTCTGTTTCAGGGTAATGTTTAATCCACTATTTGAAGCAGTTTTTCATTCTCTTCTCTGTAGTAAATTACTAAACTGAAAGAATGGAACTGAGATCCTGTAGCTTAAATTTGCTGAGCTTTTGTTTTGAGGTTGAACAGTGAATCTTAGAAAGCTTGTTTTTCATTTGTCCTGAAACCTTGCCCCTCCTGCCTCCTCCTTTTCATGCCAATAAAAGGTAACCAGAGACAGCTGGGGGCTCTCTTTCTGCCTCCCCTGAATGGGAGTGTCTCCTGAATGCCTCTTTCATGTACCTGCACAAACCCTGCGCTGCTGAACCGCTCTGGCTGAGGTTCTCAGGGGCTGGATGGGCTTTCATTGCCTGCATTTCTGCTCTGAAGCAGACTGAGAGAAATGAGTGTTAAGTAAACGCAGCGGCAACCCTGCCAGCGTCAGCATTCCAGCCTGCAGTGCTGCTCCTGACCAGGACTCTGCCAGCACAGACTTCTATACATCCAGCCTTCAGGGGGCTGTTTTACTTGCTAGCAGTTGTAAAGAAGAGGGATGCACAGCAGAGCAAAGACTGGCAAGTCTAGTTTTTATGAGGCTGTTTATTTTTTCTATAACAAGTGTGTGGTGCCTTGTGGATGTTGAATGGCAATTTAATACAGTGATAAAGTAAAATTGTAAACTTACCTGGTCTGTTTTCAGCTGCCTTTGTTCTGCACCTCTAAGCATCTGCTGAAAACATGTTCAACAGCACTCAGACACTTCTGTGAATTTATATATGATCTTATTCAGCACCTTCTGCAGAGCACGGATCACCTCGCTGCAGCTGATTGAAGTTAATAGAAAATGAAGGTGTCTATCTGCCTTTCCATAGCAGGCCTTTGTGTGTGAAGTCAGTGTACACAGGCTTTTAAGTGAAAGCAGAGGTTTATTTTCAGCTTTATGTGAAGAGCATTTTACAAATGCTATGTTGCAGTTTAGAGATCAAGATTTAGGAAACACGTATATTTGGCAGCATAGGGGTCTGTATCTGGTGATTTTAGCAGTTAGGGCAAATTTCAAACACCCTAACATCCAGCCAACAGTGGAGTTTACACATGGAAGGATTGTGCATTCATAACTTCCTAATAACAATGTCAGGGTATTTTCTGTTGTAGCAGGCAAAAGAACCTGCCCTGGATGAATTAGGCCTTTGTTTGCACAAACACCTAGGCATTGTGTAGGCAGGAAAATTTCCCCCCTTCTACCAAAATAACCTTATTCCTTTACCATACGTAGGCACTCATATCTATTCAAGACCTTCCCAAGTAAAGACAGTTTTATTCAGGAGTGAGGACGTGTGTTCAAGCAGTTATATCTTTCAATAAATATAGCGTGGCTTATGCAGATCCTTCCACTTTACTTTCTTCCAGTTGCTGCCTCATAACCTAGAGAGGTTGCTCCTGTCCCAGCTGCTTGTTCAAGGTCTTTTGCAGGGTGATGCTATTCCCATTGCTCTGTCATGTGGCTGAGGTACTCCCTTCCTGTGTCCCTTGCCCTGAGCCATGGCTGTAGCTGCAATGGAGCATCTTGAGACATGCCAGGTTTACCTGGTTAGGGAACCTAGCATGGAATGATGGCCAGAGAAGTGCAGTGGTGATGTTAGTGTTGACTTCTCAGCCCAATGTCTGTGATGTTAGGAAGAAAATGACAGGTGAAAAGGATTGTCAGTGTAAATGTAACTGTAGAAGAATAAATGCAGTGCAGATATTGCTCTGCAGCCATCCTGTGTCACCCATGACCTGTGGCAGACACAGTGGGCAGCACAGAGAGCTGTCCTGCAGTGCAGGTGGACAGGAGGGCTGGTTGGGTGCAGACAGAGGATGTGTGGCAAACAGCCCCACCAAACCCAGCCAGGCATCTCCATCATGCCCTGCAGCACCTCGACTCCTGTGAGTCCGCGTGTCCGCATGATTCTGGATGCTCAGAAACATAAGCTAGAGTAGAGTAGCTTGCCCTAATAATGTTCAGCATGAGTTCTCAGAGCATCTGAAGTAATGTTTGCAAAAATGTGTGTGTAGAGATACCAGTCTTCAATGCTCCTCCCAGAGAAAAATTCACAGTCAGACATCAGAGTGACCACAGATGACAAATGCAACAGCTTATTGGAAATGGAATGTAAAATATCTTTAGAGGGGCAGCTTCTCTGTGTATTCAAACCAGGGCTAATAAACCTTGGATTTAAGGTAATGGCAACTATATCTTTCTCAAAATGAAGACCCTTTTCCTCTTTCCCCTTTTTTATTCTTGCAAGTATTTGCTGCCCCATCATTAGGATGTCTTTTTTGTTTTTTTACTCCTGATCGATGGTGCAGTGTTATTTGTTTAGTCATTATTTTTAGTTTTGTATGTAGCTGTTTGTCTGTTTATTGAAATGAACTGCCATCCGGGTGCCCTGATCAAAGCAAAACCATGAAATCCCACGTGTTGCACTTTTGAGAGCAGCAACAATGAAGCTAACCTTTCACCCTTGACTTTCTTTTAACCCTAATTTTGAAAGACAGTAGCAAACAATTCAGCTAACTTCTTAAGTAAAAGAATATTCAAACTACCTCGTTTGTAATGCAGTGCTCCTTTCAAGTGAATTGAAGGTCTGGGAGTAATGCATACAAACACAGAGGCCGGGTAAGTTCATTACTTTGGAGTTTCTGGTGTAGTAATAGCAGTGAAATGGTTAAAAGGCTGACTTTAAAGTGGTCACAATTAGGCTTCAAAGTTAACACCCCACCCCACTGAGATGAATGGGAGCAGTTGACATTTCTTAGTGCTATTGTTTCAGTCTGGCTTGCTATAGCTTCTAAAATAAGACAACAGTACATCTGTTTACATTCTGCTTCCGCAAACCCAGATGGGCTAGAAACTTCATTGTTTTTTAAGTGGAAGCTTGGATTCTGGAGAATACAGCAATATCCACAGGGTATCTGTAGGAAGAAGAGCTGAAAGCCGCCTTAATCACAGACATCTCCCCCTTCTCTATAAACTTCCATTGTCCCAGGACAAATCTGTAAACCACAGGGGGAAAAATAAAGTAATATATATTTGAAGTACTTTTTTCTTACATGACATGCCCACAATAACTTCTCATCAAGTCCCTAGCACGCAAATTTTCATAAGTGGATGTGGTGTTTTGAACTTTTTTCTCTTTTAGTAGTTTGTAGAAGGTAAAGGTCCTGATTTTACTGACTATGGTAGCTTCTCTTAAGCCTCTACTAACAGAAAATTCTTCTGTCTCTAGAGAAGCCAGGGTTTCACCCCGGAGGGTTTGAGACCAGGTGTCACTTTGTGTTCATATGGGTAGAATCCTTTAATTTACTTCTGAGGCTGTTACAAGAAGTAAGATTATTGAGAGGAATGTTTTGCGTTTTTCTCATACTTTCATATGGGCAGCCACATTAACTGGGGTAAGATCTTAGGAGCTGGAACGGATTAATAAAGGTGCAAGTGGGGCCAGAATTTGGAGCAGATGGTCTCTATTACCCCATGCCTCAGTTCATGGAGGGAGTACACAGTGTCCCCTCAGACTTTTGTTGAGGGGTCTGCGCAGTGGCAAAGTGCCCTCAGTAGCAGCCAGAGCCCTATGAGAGCTCCTCTGATAAAAGAGACCCATTAGATATGCTCAGGCTGTAGATTGAAACCAGCTGGGAATCTGTCGGAAAGATTTTCCTCATTGTGCTTTCATCGGGGTGGAAAGTTTGCGGCTTGTTTTGCATATATATGTATTTGGGCTTCCTTGCTCTTTGTGAGTCCTAGAGCCTGCCAGTGATAAGAGCTCTCATGCATACAGGCTCTTTTTGTATCCTGGCACTCAGAGATCCTGCCTTCCTTTTGCCCAAGGACAGCACAGCTTGTGCTTTGGAAGTGCCCTTGCGGGCTCTCCCAAATGGTGTCTCCCAGATTTCAGCCCTGGGTGAGCTGGATGGTGAAGGCAGGCATGCAATCTGGGGTTTGGGCTCGTGACACTTGTTTCCTGCCCAACTTCAAGCTGTATTCTCCTCTGACTATAAAATACAGTGGCCCTGAGCCTTGACAGGCCTCCAGGCTGTCTGAGATAGCTGTGGGCATTTTGAGAGTGTAAACTGTTTCCTCTCTTGTTGTTGTCCTCAGGTCCTGTGTTGTGTGGAGGCGTGCAGCAATCTGGTCTGGATGGAGAAAATACCTCAGAAAACCCAAGAGGAATGTTTACTTTGAAAGTTTCTCTCATGAGTTTGTTTAATCTTTCTAGTTAAAAAAATTTCTTTAAATATAAAATAATGATAAATCCTGCTGGGAAAACCAATTCCAATGTGATAAAACTCCTACAGTGTGAAGCAAGAACCACTCAATTCAACTGCAAGGAGAAGGCATGTTATTTAATCAAACAGAGGGTTAGAGAACAGCATCAAATATGCATTTTTAAATTTGTTTCCATTTCTTTTCTAGTCCATTACACAGATTTAAGTTACATCTTGTGCATCTTGTGGAAGAAAATAGGTGTCCTAATAGAGCCTTTGAATATAGTTAAAATAACTTTAACAAGGCTACAGTAGGTCAGTGGCAGCACTTGGAAAAGAAGTTAGTTGATGTTTTGCCCAGTTCTGTATATTTTAATTAGCAAACTGGCCTGCCTCCCTGAATTACAATGGCATTGTGATACCTAAATGTTCAGAATCCTGAGCTTTATATATTAACATAGAACATTTCTTGAACAGACTTATAGCAAGAAAATATTGCAAGAAATATTGCAATTTTCTTATATACCAAGAAAATATTGCTATAGCTTCTTTACCAGTTGTGTCCCAGACTGCTTTTTACATAGTATTCAAGGATGATCTTGACAACATAATTATCTTTTAGGGAATATAAAATACCAGAGATTAAAATGGACAGATCTGGATAGGGCAGGAATTTGCTAGCAGGATGATGTTCTAAAACCACTTTTGAAAAATTAACATGTTATGAAAATAAATTATTTTTTTAACATTGTGCTGTTTTATTTTTCTTTTAGAAAAGAAAATGAAGCCTTCCGTTATAGGACTATTTAGTTTTGAGTAAATTGTGTGTTTCCCTTTTGTGGTGTATTTCTCTAGTCAATTTATTATTTGCATGCCTATTGCTCCCAGTCTCTGCTGGTCTGAGCTTGCTTGCCAACTGGTATTTGCCACTAAAACTCAGAATCATAGTTTTCTTGAGGAGCTTGGTACATTGTGGCAATTATTGTCCCATAGAAGAGGATGCAGACGGTCACTCCTGTGGGGTCTCATGAAAAATGCAATAGGCAAAGAGCCCAGCAAATTGAAACAATATTTTTCAATTAATGAATACTAAAAATTTGAATGTCTTCCCAAAATAACCCCGAAGTTTTATTTCTTATTGAAAATTCTTTTAAAAAATCCCAACAAAACAAAACAGCTGATATTTGCCTAATCATCCCAAGTTAGGAAAAAAAAATGAATAAAAATGTTTTTTATAGGATTAAATTTCCATATTTTTTCAGCTCTAATTATGATAAGGTTCTACAAGAATTATTCTTTCTTTGTCTAATCCTTTTTCCATCCTAGACAATGAAAATAGTTTAATCTAGCAGTTTTTACATTGTGGTGCGTGCTCCAGAGCTGACTTGTAAAACTTTTTCTTTCAGTGGTTTTATTGTTCAAGAACTGATGCTTCCTGTTACTTCTCGCCATGCATTTTGGTTTTGTGAATGAGTATGCTTAGATAAAAGAAAAATACTAATCAAGTATATACCTTTTGTACAGCTTTATGTTATCATTAAATAAAAATGATACCAGAACTGCAGAGGTAACAACTCTTCTGAAAGGCTGAGTCAACAGGAAAGAGAACAGTGATCAGTGAATAAAAGAAATCTGGGATGCCTTCACTTCAGATATTCAGTAAGGAAGAGGAAACAGCACAGGTAAAACATAACATGGAGTGTTGCTCTTTCTGCATATAGTTTAAACTTGATGGTATAAGAACTGTGCTTCAGGCTACTTTTCAAGAAAGGGAAAACTAAAGGGGTTTTGGTTCATGGCAGGGGCTAGCAAACCAAGTAGGACCAATTACAATTTAAATAGATGAGTGAAAGCTGCATGATCTTAGTTGCTGTGTCACGCTGGTCTTCATTTCCATGATGCCTTTTACAGTTTTATTGTTCTAGTGCTTCATATTTATGTAGTTTGAAGTTTGCTGTGAACGTGATTAGATTCACTCCCTACTGGGATATAGGCCAAGATATTCAAAGGGATTATTTATTTTGAGCACCTCCATTTTTTAAGGGTCCAAAGCAGACGAGTTTCAGAGTAGGGAAACTCAGTTGTTTGTGTGGTTTGTCAACCTGACATGGAAAGACAAAAGAAGAAAAAATGGGCGTGAATGAAATCCTTGTTCATTTTTCATTGCATCAGTGTCGATCTTTGGTTTTCTGAATGAAGGTGACAAGATTTGGGTACTGCTGTCCTGGAAACTGGAATATGTACCTGGCCATGATCCAGGCTGGAGGAAGTAAAGCTGAGCAGTGACATTACCCTATCTCTCCATTTCTCTTCCCTGTCCTTGATGCCTTAAGTTTTAGCTTTCATATTTCTCAGAGTCTGTGTTGCCTAGGTATGTAGCTCTGAACTTCAATTTAGGTGTCAGTAAGCTCTCTTCACAGAGTAGTTCGACAAAACAATCCCTTTCCAGCTTGAGACCAGCCATTATGACCTTCAGATCCAAAAGTATAAACAATGAGGAACTGAGGGGAGCAAACAAGGAGGATGGGACTCCATAACCTGAAGTTGTAATTGGACAATTAACCCCAAAATGCAAATGGACCAAAACTTATAAAAGTGTAAAATCTTGTGACCAGTGGTCCATTTTGTGACCCTTTTGGGTCCATCTTGAGTGTAGCCCTGGCCAGGCTCTTGTGCTGCCCAACGTGTATCCTTTTAAGACCTTTCAGTAGATATGTACTTTATTCTCTTACCTATGTCTAGTCTCTGTTCCAAGTTCAGCCTCTCAAGGCATCAACCTCCTAATTGCCCTAGAGCTTTACTGAAGATTTATTTAGATGCAGTCTTCTGGAAGTGTTGTATTGCACAAAATAGTTCATTTAGTTGTTGTTTGCACTGGGTGATAGGACAGTGGTGAGATCAGTGCTGACTGTACCATGTGTGGAATATGTGTAACAACTACACTGGATATCTATTATAAAGCATAAATAACCTATGTATTCCATTTCTCTGTCTGTTGTGTAGGTGAATCTACCCAATGCAGGGATAGAAAGAGGACATGCCTTCTTAAAGGACAGAATGAACACTGGTGCTGTCAGGATACTTGGCTTAGAATTAACTTTCCCTTCAAATTTCTTCATGCTGATACAGCGAAGTACAATTTGTGTTGCTGAAGTAACTGCATTTATGAAATATACTTGAGTTGAACTAAAAAAAAAAGTCCTGGAGGCATTTCATTAGTTTCTAGCTTTTTGATTGCCTGCTTTTAAGACAAGATATCAGCTGATATAGCTCCTTTAAAAATGCACTTTGCATTAAGGGGGGAAAAAGCAGCCTAAGCTGTGAAGTCTTAATTGTTAGAAGTGCAACAATCACTTAAAAACAGACTGTAAAGCCTGGTTTGACAGCTGGAGGAAGGGATACTTTATTAATAGTTGTAAGGAATGGGTGGATAGGGCCTGAAAAAGGCAACAGGGGATATAAAAAGAAGCCTTGTAATATGAAACCATTGCCAAAATCCCTCACTGAACAATTTATGAAAGGGCCCGCGTCACATAAGCACCAAGTTAATACCTGGTGAACGGGATGAGCAGCTTCTGGCTGGTGTGCCTCACTGAAAGTGAAGGTGCACAGTGCAGCAGCCCAGCTCTGCTGGGGCAGATCCTTCAGTGGGCTGGGGATGGGCACACCGGGCTCACTGGCCAACAGCCTCTGCTTTTGGGAGTCAAAGTTTCTGTCTGGCAGGCACAGATGACTAGCCACTGTACTTGCTCTATAGTCGTCACACTTCAGTGTTTTACAATCTGATAAGTCCCCTAAATATCCTTGCAACTGATAGCCAAATTGCTCTGCTAATATGACCTGAGACATATAACTCCAACCACTCATTTCCTGTGGGAGGTGTCAGGGAAGATCCCCCTCTACAGAGATTTCATGTAGCTAAAATCTCTCCAGATTAAATCTCCAATTAAAGCACAACTCCATGATTTCTGTGGCCAGGAGCTGACTGCATAGGAGATAATGGGAAGGCAAAATCCCTCTTGTTGCTCCAGCCTCAGCTGCAGGGCTTCTCTGATTCCAGACTGCCTGGGTATCCAGAGCAATGTCCCATATTAGACTAAGATTATCTGTTTATGACAGATCCAGAACACTTCAATTTTCTATTTATTTAAAAAAAGAAGTCCTTAGGTAAATGTCAATAACATCCAGAATTTGGGAAAGCCTTGGAAACAGAAGAGCTGCAGTTGTGGGGAAGTTTTGATCTCATTGGAAATCATACATCCATAAAATTTCTTTTGTGCAGACTTCCTGTGTCATGCCGTGCTGACTCTGTGTGAGATCTGACATTGTTCTTCAGTCTTTAATAATGAGAGCTTGGTAGGGTGGGGAGAGGGGAAACATAAACAAAAATGTCAGCCTGATTTTTAGTACTGTACAAATTTAACCCAAGTTGCCTGTGCCAGTCCTAATCCCTCCTTTCAGATTTGTCCTTTCCACGTGGGTCAGTGGCAACTCAATTCCTGATACATCAAATCCAGAAACTTGCTGAGACCATCAGTATCTCTGGCAGCATCACATGGCGCAGATGACATTTATTATGTCTGTGGTATATGGCAAATTTGTTCTCAGGATCAGAATTGTCTCAGGATCAGAATTTTCTGTGGATGTGGGATCAGTGTGGCTTCCCTTCTCTGCTGCTCCCCTCAGTTGCAAGTGTGTTGCATCAATAAGGAAGAATTATTTCTCTTCACTGTAGCTTTAACCATGTTGTTAGGTTTCTTCGCTTTTTCCAGAAGATTATTTTTCTTTTTCACCAGTGATCTTAGCCACTTCACAGTGTTGATGGGAATTTCTGCTCCTCCTACTCTGCAGCACATGTCCCTTCTATAGTGTTTCTTTTCTTTCTGTGTATTGTACAAAGCAGGTTCCACCTTTGATATCTATTTTTTGTTTGCAAGGGGAACTGGCAAGCTAGGTATTTACTTGAAGCTTTTCCTGCACAGCCTTTTTTCTTCACCTTCTTGCCTTCTCTGTGTGGCACCAGTACTGGGAACAGCAGAACTGCCAGATGAATTGGCAGATGAGCATTTGTGTTGTGTTTCAGCTTTACTTTGGGTGGTATTTAGAAGACTAGCCCTGCATTCATGAGATATTTCTGAGGTAAATATCAGGGAAAGTAAAAATGCAAAGATACATATTGCTTGAGGCACTGATTAAGAGAATTGGTGTTGCTAAGATGGGAGAAGAATTGCATTTCCATGAGATGTTTGGAATTTTTTTCCTGCCTGATTCTTTGCTTTTCCATACAAAAGAAATGTTTAAGGGCCTACCCATTAAAATGCTGTGTAGTAACTTATCCAACATACTTGCAAAAAGAGGGTGATTGCATCTGTACTCATTGATAATTTCCAGGGTGAGAATCCATTATGGTATATTTGTAGAACATGATCAGGAGGAAAGGCAGAGACAAATTCTCTTTGATGTAACCATGGGAAAGATATATACCCACAGTTTTCTCATCAAAACCATGCTGCTGTGTGACAGAAGGAGGGAGAACACAGAACAGAAATATACTTATTTCTGTTGGCACAGCCTGAAGTCTGATTGGATTGGCTCCCCCTTTTTGCTCAGGTATGCTTTTGGTGATCACACATCCTACCCATGAATGCAAAATCATGGTTTGTTCCCATGTGTCAGCTGCTCCATACTGAAATATGTTAATCAGAATTTCCAGCTTGGTCCCAGGGAGGCTTTCCTTACAGTTTTCTAAATGATGAAAAGTTGGTGTTAGAAGTGTGTTCTAACCATGCTTCTGATCTATAGAAAATATCAGTTATATTAAAGGAAATAATTCAACATAATTTTTTCTTTTTACTCAGTTTCAGTTTGAAGGGTGCTGAGCATTCTAGCTATAAGAGAAATGTTATTGCTTTTGTACAATATTGCTGTTATAATCCAGGAGAAACACAACCACTCATTATTTAGCAGACTAGTAAAATTTAAAATATAAGACATCACAAGAGGCTGAAACTGCAGTCCATCTGTAGGGAGAATTCTTGCTGCTGTAGGAGAGGCAAGGTGATGCTGTGCTTTGGGAAACAGCAAGACCATTACTTCCAGTGTCTGAGACACAGTCCCAAAATACAGGGCCCACACCCTAAATTTTGAGGTAGGTAACTCTTAAAGTTATCTCCCTGTATTTCCTTTGTTGGCCTTCTTACTACTTTTAGGCATCAGTTGCCTTTGTAAGTCTTCTTTATGGTTATATTTGCTAAAAAATGCAGTTGGTTTGGATTCTGTACCTAAATAACTTGACTGAGAACCTACAATACTTGCTGTTCTCCGTTTTCTTCAAAGAAAGACTACAATTAATGAAAACTTGCAAGTGGTTTCTTTAATACACTTTTCTTTTTGAGATCTTCTTTCTCTTCCCTCTCTCATCATTGCAACCTGTGCAGCTTCCTTGTACTTCCTTGTCTTTCTTTGAACATTATGCAGACTAAAATATAATTTTTCTCCTTACTTAGACTTTGAACTCTTTGAAATGAAATCAAGTGAGTTTGCCTGTACTTAATTGGTTGGAATCTTAGCAGCTTCTACTGTTTTGCTGTGTAGGGAGTGCCATAGCTAATTAAAATAGATTTGATCTTTTGTCTCTGGATCAGCAGGTGATTTTTAATCTACAGCAGTATCACAAAGTTGT